CTCAAACTCCTAGTCTCAAGCGATTCTCTCCTCTCAGCCTCCCAAAGTGCTGGGATTATAGGCATGAGCCACTGCGTCTGGTCTCTTAATTTATCTTTAAACTTAATTTAAAATTACTCTTTAAATTTACTTTCTTATCAGACTGGGTCTCAGAAATGACATCATCCCAGATGATCCTGGGGTCCTGACCACGCATAATTCTGAAATACCTGAGCATATAAGAATGAGAACTCTCACAGCTCTTTAATTGGCAACTCTGCCCAATGCCACTACCAAAAATGGAAACAAATTAACTTAACTCAAATACTGTTGCTTACCATCACCCATGATAAACAATCACTTACTCATAATTTCACAAAGTGACAGCGACATCTTGCCTGCTTGTTGGACGAACCTCTTAAATGTCTACTCTTCCTAACAAGGATGTTCTCCCTAGAACTTGGATACTAAGCTAGTTCCTCATTTTCCTCACTAAGGTGAAAAGGAAACTCCTCGGTCCAATGGCTTAAGTCACTAAGCCTGAGACAGTGAGTTGCAGAGTTCTATCAAACACAACCAGAAGATATTTTAGGGCACTATTACTGACAGGAAAAGCCTTACCACTTAACAAGTTTATCTGACAGAGAAGTCCTTAAATTTTAGCTGCATCAAAATTACCCAGAGGGCTTACTAAAGCACACTGCTGGATCTTACCGCTGAATTTCTGACTTACTAGGTCTGGGTGGGGCCCAAGATTTCGTATTTCTAACAAGTCCCCGGGCAATACCGATGCTGCTAGTCTGGAGACCATACCGAGAACCGCTGCTTTCACATTTTCTCCAAGAATGAATAGGCAGCCCTGACTCTCTGACGCTCTCCTGCCAACCTTTCTATCCTATCCATGGCTACAACCAGAAAGGCATGTTCATGGGAGAAAAGAAAAGGCTATCTGGAAGGTCAGAAAACAGAATGAAGCGATCCTTTCTTATTCCCAGCACAGGGTCTGAAGAGAAGTGGGTCTACTTCTGACTTCTGTAATTTAAGGCTATTAAGAATAGCTGGTTAAAACACGAAGAAAAGCAGGACTCATGGGGAGAACAGAAGATCTATTTACCTTAAAGAGGGCCAGGCCAAGAGAAGCCAATTAATTCCCGCTCAAGTACATGGAGTAGTAGAAAGGATGTGTCTGTACTTCCATTTCTTTTCTTTTTTTTTGTGAGTCGGAGTCTCACTGTTGCCCAGGTTGGAGTGCAGTGACACGCTCACAGTCACTGCAGCCTTAACCTGCTGGGTTCATGTGATCCTTCTGCCTCAGTCTTCCAAGTAGCTGGAGCTACAGGCACGCGCCACCATGCCTGGTTAATTCTTTGATTTATTGTAGAGACAAAGTATCGTCACGTTGTTCAGGCTGGTCTCGAACCCCTGGGCTCAGGCAATCCTCTTGCCTCAGCCTCCCAAAGTGCTGGGATTACAGTCATCCTTGTTTGTAAGATGGGGACAATCGTACCTACTTTGTCTATCTAAAATATATGCTGAGATAATAAAATAGTGGGAGAGGGCTGTATAGACTACATAGTGATATACAAGTTGAAGATATTAATATTTTTATTCTTTTAGGATAAAGATTTTAACTTAGAATCCACGGATGTCTAGACTCCCCTAAAATAGTATGCAAACTTCTGCATTTATTTTACTGGAGAGAGAGACAATAGTTTTCACGAGCTTTTCTTTTTTTTTTTTTGAGTTGGAGTCTCACCCCGTCACCCAAACTGGAGTGCAGTGGCCGCTCCCGGTCACCACAGCCTCGACCTGCTGGGCTCCAGCGATCCTTCCGCCTCAGCCTTCCAAGTAGCTGGAACTACAGGCGTGCGCTACCATACCCGGCTAATTTTTGATTTATTGTAGAGATGAGGTCTCGCCAAGTTGCCCAGGTGGATCTCGAACCTGCGTGGGCTCAGGCAATCCACTCACCTGGGCCTCCCAAAGTGCTGGGATTACAGGCTGAGCCACCAAGCCCCGTCTTTATGAGCTTTGCAAAAGGGTTTTTGCTTTAAGTACCAATCCTGACCTAGAGTTAGAGTCAAGCTTCTTCTACCACCATTTATTAGGTACTTTAAAGGTTTCCGTCTCACTTTTAGATGTTCCTCAAGACACCTCTCTCCCTTCAAAGTCAAATGAGTGGTTGGCACAAACTCTTTACCTATGAAAATAATTACTTATTGCTGAAAGAATATAGAGTAGTGAGCTAGCTGTGTAGTCAAGAAAGTCAACCAACCCGATTTCCTATGGAAAAGTACCAAGCACCACAGAGAGCTTGAGTGGGAGGAGGAAACATTAGCACACAGAAACTTTAAAAAAGGTTACTGCTGATCTCAATGCACAGAAGATGAGGTATTTCACTTATCAGAAGGGACTAAAGATTTTTCAGAGGGCGTAAAACACATTAATAAAGACAACCTTTAAAAGGATGTGTTTGGGTCAGGCATGGTGGATTAAGCCTGTAATCCCAGCACTTTGGGAGGCCAAGGTGAGAAGACTGCCTGAGCCAGGGATTTGAGACCAGCCTGGGCAACTTGGTGAGCCCTCATCTCTACGATAAATTTTTTAAAAATTAGCGGGGCGTGATGGTGTGTGCCTATAGCTCCAGTTTCTCGGAAGTCGAGGCTGTGGTGGTCATGAGCGTGCCACTGCACTCCAGCCTGGGCAACAGAATGAGCTCCAACTCAAAAAATAAATAAATAAATAAATAAAAGGATGTGTTCCCAACCTTTCAGCAGTGAAACTACCTGAACAGGGCTAAGAAATTCCTTCGAGTGAAAACCACTAAAGAGAAGAGGCTCCAGCAGAAATTCTCCAGAGACTGATGGAACATTACCTTGAAGGTCTACCTTGTCAATTCTTGAGACTGAGGTTCTTCAAACTTCATCCTGGCTTATTTTCCTGCTAGGCACCAGAGATGTGAGTACTGTTGGTTCCCATATGTGATCTGAATCCTATTCTCTGACAGGTATGCAAGTCCCTTTTTTTTTTTTTTTTTGCTGCTGATTTTTAACAAAAAAGGGAGGTGTTATAATACACCTTCTCTGCTAAATTTTTCTCCTGAAAGGTTCGAGAGGCTCCTCCTATTTCCCTTAGTGGCAGGGATAGTCTCAGTAGGAATTTCATTACACTAACATGTAGACCGAAACATGAGTTAGACATTTGTTAACTTCCTTAACTAAAATGTTTGCCCAACATGGGAGCTGGCTCCAGCGTTTTCTCATGGGGATTACGAAGCACTTTAACATTTCAGAAGGAAGGTCTGGATACCTACAGCAATACGCTAGAGGGTGCTCAGAGGCTGGCTTTCCTGGCTAAGTGGCTAACTGGGTCAGAAGTTAATGACATGTGGTATCTGGAAGAAAGCCTCAAACGTCTTTGGCAAGGAAAGACAGCCAATGAGACAAGATAAGCCTCTCCCTACTCCTTCTCATTGTTCAAAAACTACAGATCAAAGGTATTTTCCTGGTTTTTGAGAGGGAAGGGTCACGAAACTGCTAAATAAGAGGGATGCCATGTTAGAAACAGAGCCAATCTGTGCTTTATTACAGAATGTTTTCTCAAAGCTGGGAAGCCCTAGTCACACTGGCTTCTTTAGGGCGGTTTCCTGGTCACCTGTGTAGAAAGAAGATACATGGGCAAAAGCTTGGTAGTACCTCCTCCCGAGAGGATGCTACGTAGGTAGGACAGTGAGGACTATCACACGCAGCAAAGTCACCGTAAAACTTTTATGGAGTCTGAGCTGGCACACGACTGCTCTGTAGAACTGCTCTGTAACACTCTATTACAGGCATACCAAAGTTAATCCTTAGTGTGGTCCCTCCCCGAAGAAAACCAAATGTCTTGCTTCCTTCTTCTTGCTATTAGCGAGTGGTTAGAGATTCAAAAACCAAACTCAAAAACCCAACAGGAATTATTAAATGAGTGCTTTTCTCGAATTCTAAAACACTCCATTATTTAAAGTAAGCTTGTGGATGGATAGAATTTCTTTCTATCGATTGTTTAAAACTTAGCACAATGTTGTAACAACCAGGGCTGAAATGTAGGCTCCTCAATTGGTCCTTTGTTAGGCCTGCTATAAATTACATCTCATTATCAATAGTTATTTTTTTCAAGTACATAATATTGGAAACATATTGTAGATAGTTTAACCAGTTTTCCATGGAGGGAGAGAGTGAGTGTGTGTGTGTGTGTGTGTGTGTGTGTGTGTGTGTGTGTCAGAAACTTTTACAGACTGTAAGAAATTAGGCTAAATCAAGAAGAAACCAGTTAGAAACATAAGGATGGTTACTGTTTTTAAATCAAAAGTTGAAACTGGATCCAAAATATTTGTTTTATGTGCTAGTTCTTATCAACAAATAAGTCCTTATTATCAATGTACTAGAATGAATTATTGGGCAAATATGGTATTTTGAAGAATCATACCAAGAGAGCTACAGTTCCTGCCTTGTAGAAATATACATAAAAACAATGGTTGGGGGAAAACAAAGAGTAGTTGCGGAAGGGTTTTGACTGCAGGAAGAAATGGGCAGGCAAGGGAGAAATGTTTCCCTCCTTTCAGAGATTTGAGAGAACACCATTTCTATAAGTTGTGTTTTTGGTTTTTTTTCTGCTTTCTCTTCTTTCTCTTTACCCCCAGAGGATAAGTGAAGCATCAGGTTGAAAACAGAAATGTAAAGCAACGGCAGGAACTACGCCCCAGACCGCACACCAGCAGCAACAGGAAGGCCCCCGCCCACCACTGGGCAGCCAGGCAACAAGCTGCCTCTGGCCAGGCAGCGCTCATACGTCCCTGGCTTCACTGGGAATTAAGAAACAGGGGTGACCCTGATTAGTACATAGGAACTAATCAGAGATGAGAGTAATGACTGTTTTCCCAACCACGAATCTTGGCAGGAGCATCTTACAGGTGATTCTTGTCAGAAATGGTTGCCTCTCGTTATCAAGAAACAGAAGGAAAAACAAATGACCAAAGAACTCACCATCCACTCAGGCATGTGAAAAGCCGAGGTGCCCTCATTACCGTCCCACTTCTCCATAGTGCAGGCTTGGGTAAGGTATATCCTGAAGCAAAAGGGAAAGCTGGTTTGGAAATGCCAGCGTTACCTGAGTGCCCCAAAACAGACCCAAACCTAGTGGTTCACAAGCTCCCAGTGGCCAGCAGAAGCTGCATCCCCTTCACGGCAGCCTCCTCTTCACATCAAGATCATTAGGACAGGTTCCTCACTGGCCAGCTTCAAAGCTTTCTGCTTCTGACTCAAAATCCGAGTGATGCAAAGTGCTGCACCCGGGCACTGCACTTCTCACTGGGCACTCACTGTCAAGGCTACCCAAACACTCTGCCCCCACCTCCCCAGTGGGGACTTTCTGCACCAACAATCCAGCTTCCTCCTTGCCCTGTGTGTATGGCACTTATTAATTTCTCCCGCCCCTTGAGACACGTCACTGGAAGAGCTGATACCAAGATCAATAAAGATTGAGGTCAAGAAGGCACTCCCATTTCTCAAGCGTTGCTTGATTTGGATCAGTACAGTAAACAGGCGTTTCCCTGAAATCAAGGGCTTTCGGGTTTAAACAGCTAGGCAGAAGCTCCCCATCTGCTCACACCAGGGGTCTGGCTCCAAACTCTGGCACCTCTGAAATCCGTCTTACTGCATGGGAGGTTCGAGTGGAGCCCAGGAGGATCTTTTGCAAAATCAGAACTTCTGAGAAGCACTGAAGAAAGTCCTGGGGCCGCAACTCCCTCTGCTGGCTCCCTGTGCTATGTACATGAAGGTCTAAGGGCCCTCAGCTAGGGACAGAAAGCAGGGCTGATTGTAATGTGGCTGGGCTTCGCCTGAGGCTAGTCGGGAGCCCCCACAATGCAGGTTTAGAGCTCAGTCAGGGTTTCCAGTTGAGACCAAGACAGCCTCAAAGTCCCCATTCAATGCTGGTTTTTAGGTATACCTCCAATTTCAGGAAGAAATAAGATGCCAACACTACTAGTCCTGTACACTATCAACCTAAAGGAACCCCAGAAGCTGTTTCTGCTTTATGTCTCCATTCCAGCTCCCTCCTCGCTGCACACTTCAGAAGTTTGGAAATAGGACAAGGCCGGGCTTGGTGGCTTAGTCTGTAGTCCCAGCACTTTGGGAGGCCGAGGCGAGTGGATTGCCTGAGCCCGTGGGTTTGAGACCCACCCAGGCAACTTGGCGAGACCTTGTCTCTACAATAAATCAAAAATTAGCCAGGTGTGGTAGCGCATGCCTGTAGTTCCAGCTACTTGGAAGGCTGAGGTGGAAGGATCGCCAGAGCCCAGCAGGTCAAGGCTGCGGTGGCCAGGAGCGTACCACTGCACTCCAGTCTGGGTGACAGAGCGAGACTCTGACTCAAAAAAAAAGAAAGAAAGACAATAGGACATAACTGGAAAAAAGATGAGCTAACCTACCTTACCTGCTCAGTTCATTCCAGGAGTATATTACCCAATGAGGACCCAGGTCCCAGCACAAAGGAAGCCCAAGGAGCTATGCCTGTTTTGGGTCCTTTCAAAGACCAGGGACTCTGCTGTGCTAATTCTCACGGAAGCTGTCACAATACTATGATTACAAGTTCATTACCCTGGGCCTTCACTAGTTAAGAGAATGGTCCTTTGGATGTAGAATGGAGAGGAGGAAGGTAACACCTGTAAGATGCCAGAGAGGACAGAATTCACACGACTGGTCAGAGGTCTAGACTAGCAAAAAAGGCAGGTGAAAACCCAAGAGGACTGCTGGACCAGGTCCATTCAGAGGTGCCAAGGGATTTGAGATCACAGGAGGATGGCGAGCAGGTGCGACAAGAGAGAGAGCAGCAGAGGTGAAGTGGAGGAAGCTGTCGTCTCACAGGAGCTATGGAGTGAAGTGACTCAAGTGTTGTCAAGATACAGATTGATGAGATGCAGGGAGACAAGACCCACTGAGGCCAGGGCCAACTCTGACAGAGCCTTAGTACTCAACAACCTCTAGTTACTGTCCTCTGGTCTTCCTTTTAACTCAAACTTCAAAAAACAAGTAGTTGCATCTGATGCCTACATTTTCAATGGTTTATTTCATCTGTGTTTAAATACAGTATGTCTAAAATCAAAATTACTGCTCCATCTTTCCTTCCCCACTATTCTTCAAACAACACTTTCGCCTCCTCACTTTTTTTTTTTTTTTTTAATGTATTGTAGAGATGAGGTCTCGCTGCCCAGGTGGGTCTCAAACCCACGGGCTCAGGCAATCCATTCACTTCAGCCTCCCAAAGGCGCGGGATTATAGGCTGAGCCACCGAGCCCAGCTCACCTCCTCACTTTTCTATCTGTATTAATGATGCCACTGTCCTCAGCAGCTGGATAGAAAACCTCAGGCCTCTTTGACTATCCCTTTCCCTAGTCCCCAGAACAATCAGTGGGCAACGATTTCTGAGTCCTCCTCCACCAAGCCTTTCATCTATCCCTCTCTGTTCATTTTCACTACCTCTTAAAAGACCTACAAATCCTTTCCCGCTGCCCTCCCACTACATAGCCATCTAAATGTATATATACTGTTGCCATTTCCTGAGTGTGAAAGCTGTACAGTAGGGCGGCTGAGAGCACTGGTTTTGGAATAAGAGACTTGGGCTAGAATCCCGGCTCTGCCACTTTTTTAACCTCTCTGTTCCTCCAGTTTGTTGTTGTTTTGTTTTTTGTTTTTTGAGTTGGAGTCTCACTCTATTGCCTAGGCTGGAGTGCAGTGGCACACTCACAGTCGACCCAGCACTAACCTGCTGGGCTCAGGTGATCCTTCCGCCTCAGCCTTCCAAGTAGCCAGAACCACAGGCGTGCACTACCACTCCTGGCTAATTTTTGATTTATTGTAGAGACGAGGTCTCACCACGTTGCCTGGGTGGGTCTCAAACCCGCGGGCTCAAGCAATCCACTCACCTCAGTCTCCCAAAGTGCTGGGATTACAGGCTGAGTCACCGAGCCCAGCCTTGTTCCTCTAGTTTTCTAACCATTTTGGTAGATTTAGTAGCAGCAACTCACAGGGCTGATGAAGGGTTCATCAACGATGCCGTTACACGTTGTGTCCTCTCCCGCCTCAACACCTTTGCCCGTGCACCTCCATCATCTCATTCAAATTCTTCAAGGTTCAGCTCAAGTGATAGCTCGGCCATGAAACCTGACCTCCGAAAAGGAATCTTGCTGTTGGCTGTATCACAATTCTCACCGTCTTTATGTTATAGCTGCTGTGGACATGTGTTGTCCCTCCTTGGACTCAGGTCCTCAGGGGCTTAGGTGACCTCGCCTACAGTGCCTGGCATATAGTAAGTGCTTAAGAAATTACCGAGCCGGGCTCAGTGGCTCAGCCTGTAATCCCACGCTTTGGGAGGCTGAGGTGAGTGGACTGCCTGAGCCCGTGGGTTCGAGACCCTCCC